AATATATGCAGTGTATTATTTGTTGAAACTGTACTTCCGATTTGATTTGAAACTGTCTCATTGCTATCTGTTTATCAATAAAACTTTGAAAAAAATAAATAAATAAATAAATAAAAAGAAAAGGTCACCACAGTCACTGGAAAGAGCTCCTAATAGCCAATGTCGGCACAATATGGGCAATCAAATAAATTGTAATGTTGAATTATAACCAATGCATAAGATATGCATGGGGGGCTGGGGAGATAGCTCAGTGGCTTAAGCGCCTACATAGGAAGTTCAAGGTCTGGAGTTCAATAATAAGCACTTTCCTGGAAAGTGCAAGGGCTTGAGTTCAATCCCCCGTTCCACCAAAAAAAACAAAACAAAACTTCCTTTAAAATAAAAAAATGAAGTTCAAAAGTATCCAGGAGTCCATACTGATATCATTAAATGATTGTGGAAGTAAATTTAGCAAAAGACATAAATTTCCCAAACATAAGAATTCTAGAAAATTTATAACTCCACATTCAAAGATGAGGAGCATAATTTCTCTTATATTGGTGGGCTGAATGGTGAGCTCTTTGCAAGGAACACAGTGCAGAGAGGGAAAAAGTGTGACCTAGCCCGCGGCCGAGGCCAACACAGCAGCCAGAAACCGTGCTGAGAGCTCATCCTCTTGAAGGGCTGTGATAAGAAAGGCAGTTTACCTCTGTGATCTTCCTCCGAGACCCATCACTCCAGTCTAATTATGGGGAAAATATCCGACAAATCCCAGAGGAACATTTCACAAAATCACCCTCCAGTTGTCCTCAAAACAGTCCAGCTCATCAAAGCCAGAGTATCAGAGAAAATACCACCCAAGAACAGCCAAAGGAAGCATCGCTGTGAAATGTAACATAATGTCTGAGATAGAATCCTGGAACACAAAATAGGACACAGTGTCAAAACCAAGGAAATCTGTGGGGCCTGGTGGAGCACGCCTGAAGGCCCAGCCTTTGTGAGGCTGAGGCAAGCAAATCACAAGTTTGAGGCCACAGTGTGAGTTCAAGGCCAGCCTGAACTGCGTAGTGAGACCCTGTCTCAGAAAAACAAACAAGCAAAAAAAAAAAAACAAAACAAAACAAAACAAAAAACCTAAGGAATTCTGAATAAATAATGTAGGAGGTTACTAGGAGAAATTGAGTTGTGAAATATATGACAATTTTCTTTACTATCTTTGCAGTTTCTCATGAAATACAAAACTTTTCTAAAATAAAAGTTTATAAAAAGTACCACCGAAGTAACAACTAAGAAGTTAGCCTCTTCTATATGGAAAACAGTTATTAGAAATGGTTCATCTCTGGGGTTTCAATAGTAAATTCAATCTGGTCTGAACAACAGTCTTTGAGAGGAAGTAGTGCTTCAGACCACTTAATGTCATAACCTATTTGTTGACTAACTTGTACTGTAACGTAGGCCAATATATTAAATCTATGCAAATTTGGCCTCAATCTAAACGAGGACAATGAAATTGACCAGCTTCCTGGATATCTCTATTGTACTGAAACTGAATACAGGGGAAGTTGTCAAAAAGTCCAAAGTGGAAGTTAAAGTTCCTCTTTGCATGCAAGGTAATGAATGATACAGCTCTAAAGGCTTTGTCAGCAGTTGTCCCTAGAGTGGGGGACACCGCTTTCTTCAAAGATAATTCCCTTCCTTTAACCAGAAATTGTTTATTCACATGCTCTGGATCATTTCTCTCATTTTTTTTTCAAAAGAAATGAAATCCATGAACCCACAAGGAGTTCATAAACCCCACGCAGAATTGAAAAAAGGCTTTTGTTCTTACAAAGCTTGAAGAACAGGTTCTGCTCTAGAAGAAGAAAGGAATGAGTAACACTAGAGGGAAGAGATGGCTGAGGGCAACAGGGAGTCACCATGGTGGGAAGAGACACAGTGACGGAGAAAGAGATGTCATGGAATGAGTTTCAACCCATTAGAGAAAAAAACAGAAAACGTACAAAGAGCTTTTCAAAGTACCCAGCCCAGACCATTCTTCAGTCTGCAGGTGATAGTGGCCTCCCAGGCCCTGGCTTACATGTCTCTCTCTATGAGGCCTACTCTAGCAAGCTCCTGTAGAAGCTTAACCTCATCCCCTGCCCCCTTTTCCATTGCTTCTCCATAGCACATTATCATGTCAAGCATATCTCTCTTATCAGAGAGAGAGAGAGAGAGAGGCATTGGTACCCTATCCTACCTGTTGTTTCTATTACCACACTATAAGGTGGGATGGGAAAATACAAGTAATCCACTCTTATGCAAACATGACAGCTATCTCTTTTTATTACTTATTGTTTTCCTTCATAAGACCCTAAACTGTTGGCAATCACAGACTAGGTTGTCCTGGTCAGTAACGAGAACATAACAGGTGCTCAATATGCATTAGGGTGCATAGTCAGGGCTCATGTGTTATTTCTGATCATTGCCATTCTTTCTTGATTTGTAACTTGCCAAGTATCCTTACCCACCAACCAGCAGGAACCCACCAACAGCTGGAAGACCCTGGGCTCCTTATGATGAGATTTACCCAATGACCGCCAACTCTCCCGTCTAGAGAGGACATAGGAAAAGTAAAGTTACCGTGTTCCTAGATTCCTAGCAAAATTCTGGATGAAAAACGCAAACTCGCGGGGGTGGAAGAGAGTGATTGGAGCAGTCCGCAGGGGGCGAGGTCCTAGCACCAGGGGTCAATCGCCCCAGCGCCCCCTACTGGCCGGATGCGACCCCC